TTCCCTGGGGGGCCCTGAGCCCGCCTGCCGAGCGGCTTAGGCTTGGGCCCCTGCGGCTGCTGGGGCACGCGCGCTTTGACAGCAGCCTGGCGTGCAACCCGGGGGGTCTTCTGCGCTGCAGGACGACCGCGCAGACGACGCGAGATCTTCGACGCTCAGTTGTCAGCCGCGCCGCGCGAGCAGCCCCAGTAAGGCGTGCGCGGCCCGGGCAGAACTTGACCGTCGAGGGGGGCCATCCACGGCGGGTGCCCCCGCGCGGAAGGCTGGCCACGCTGGCCGCGTGCAAGTCGAGAGGATTGGCCCGCGAGCGCGAGCCGCTCGGAAGTGCGCGCTCGCACGCTCAGCCCCAAAGGCCTGAGCCAGAACGGCGGGGAGGAAGAGGAGGGGGAGGAGGAGGGGGGGGGGGGGGAGGGGGGGAGGAAGAGGAGGAGGAGGAGGAGGAGGAGGGAGGAGGAGGAGGAGGAGGAGGAGGAGGAGGAGGAGGAGGAGGGGGAGGAGGAGGAGGAGGAGGAGGGGATGGAGGAGGATGAGGATGATGATGAGGAGAGGGAGGATGAGGAGGAGGAGGAGGCCGAGGGGGAGGGGGGGGGGGGGGAGGGGGAGGAGGGGGCGGAAGAGGAGGAGGAGGAGGATGAGGGGAGGAGGAGGATGAGGAGGATGAGGAGGAGGAGGAGGAGGAGGGGGAGGAGGAGGAGGAGGAGGAGGATGAGGAGGAGGAGGGGGATAAGAACAGCAAGGGGAGGAGGAGGAGGAGGAGGAGGATGAGGAGGAGGAGGGGGAGGGGGAGAGGAGGAGTAGGAGGAGAAGGAGGAGGAGGAGGGGGGGTGAGGAGGAGGAGGGGGATGAGGAGGAGGAGGGGGCTGATGAGGAATAGGAGGGGGGCGAGGAGGGTGTGGAGGAGGATGCGGATCCTGAAATGAGGGGGGGGGGGGGGGGGGGGGGGGGGGGGAGGAGGAAGAGGAGGGGGAGGGGGGAGGAGGAGGGGAGGAGATGCGGAGGATGAGGGTGAGGAGGAGGAGGAGGAGGAGGAGGAGGAGGAGGAGGAGGAGGAGGAGGAAGAGGAGGTTCAGGAGGAGGAGGAAGAGGAGGAGGGGGCGGATGAGGAGGAGGAGGATGGGGGGCGGGATGGGGAGGGGGCGGGGGAGGGGGATGGGGGAGGAGGAGGGGGGGGGGGGGGGAGAGGAGGAGGAGGAAGAGGAGGAAACTGAGGAGGAGGGGCAGGGGGAGGAGGCGGAGGCGGATGGAGCGTATAATGATGGTGATGAGGAGGAGGCGGGGGAGAAGGAAGAGGAAGGAGAAAACGACGAAGAACAAATCAGATGAAGAAACCGAATGAGAAGCATAACACACTTACGACAAACATTAATACTACGAAGAAACATACTATGAGTAATGCTACGACACATAAGAATCATAGTGCGAATAAGAAGAACAGTGTGGATACGAAAATGAACCATAATGCCACGGATAGTATTGCGGATCGTACGAAAATGAGACGCGTAATAACCGCACGCAGCGCAATATTAATACAAACAAGACGGGCGACATTACTAGCGATAATATCACGAGTAATCGCAAGACGAACGCTACTACAAATCATACTATTGACACGACGATGACGCATGCGAGTAATACGACGAACACGGATAATGCGAAACCTAATACTACTACGATTATTAAGACGACTACTAGTCGTAATATCAGTACGACTAATGCACATACGAATACTACTACTACTACTACGCATAATGCGAGGAAGACGGACACGGAGAATACGCATACTGCTATCAGTAAGATTAATAATTACACTTACCTGTACTACAACTTTAAGCAATACTACGACTGAGCATACGCATGCGACTGCGAGCGCTACTACTAATAATAACATTAGTATTAACAACAACAGTGACATTTGTAGTCATGATGAACAGTAACATGATGATCATGATAATACCTGTAATAATACGAGTAGAAATGATAAGCTTATTACATACATTACTAATACTAAAGATAGTGTCAACTGTAGTAATGATATTATCAATGACGTTTTAGCTACTATCAATATAAGTAACCATATTGTTAGCACTGCTGATCGTAATAGCAAGCATACGCGTAATACTAATACTAATACTAATACTAATACTAATACTAATACTAATACTAATACTAATACTAATACTAATACTAATACTAATACTAATACTAATACTAATACTAATACTAATACTAATACTAATAACCACAATACGAATACAACGAATCATACTCATAGTCATATTATTAATCTTAGAACTATTACAAAACGTAATATTAATACTTCTGATCGTGGTACGGATGATAATACTACTACTAATATTAATGCCGATCATACTAATAGTGCCAACCATATTAACGATGCTAAGCATACTAATACTAATATTATCAATATTCGCAATATTGATAACACGAGTAGTCATATTAATAGTAATATTATTAATACTAACGAGACTAATATTCATTCGACTAACCATAGTGACAAACAGGAGAAGAGTCTGAAACAGTAATTGTTTTAGCATGCCAGCCTTGTCTGCGAACTCCCATTAGATACCCTTTTAGTCCCGAGAGGCCCCGTGTGCGTTTCAGCTTCTATTGTTGCGATTATTGTGAATGATCTGCAGTTTCAGCGTGCATATTTGCCCCTCTCAGGTTTGCGCCGTCGCATGGCCGTTTCGCTCGAACCAGCTTGAGGGGCCCCATCTTGTAGAGCCGCCAGCCGGCGACGACGTCAGAAAGATAACTCAACGGATAAAGATCCACAGGCAAGCATATTATACACAGACAGATCAGCGATCTGAGATTGCCGGGCTCGAGGCCCGAATCATTATTCTGCTCCCGCCGGGGGCTACATGCGCAGGACTGAAGGCCGTGGCCGCGCTCCGCTTGCGGTAGTGAAAAGAAGTCCGATCGCACTGGTGGCGCACGTCGTCAAGTTGAGTTCTCGCCGCGATGTCGTACCCGCCCTCGGAACGCGGAGGCGAAGGGGAGAGCCGCGGTGCCTTGAGGAGGCGCCGTGGTCGGCGCGGCCGAGGCGGCAGCAGCGCATCAGACGACGCCGCCGACGACCCGCTCTACCCCCGCGGCCCCGCCCCTGGAGTCCGATGGCGCGGAGGTGCGCCGCCAGCGGCCCCGACTTTCTCGGGGGGTCGCAGGGCGGGCCCGCGCTGTTGGGAACACTGGCGTGATGCGGTGGGCGCATGGAAGTTCCGAGTCAAGCGCTACCTGCCGCTCGCCGTGGCGGCGCTGCAGCTCAGAGATGCCGTCGCGGGGGAGGCGCTGAAGGAGATCATCTCCGAACCGCCCGCCGATGACATGGGCCGCCCAGGACGGCGTCGAACGTTTGGTTGAAGTTATGCGCTCGCCCTTCGGCGAGGGGGAAATTTTCCACGCGGGCGACCTGCTGGCAGCGTGCGAGAGGATCAAGAGGAGTCATGGTGAGAAGCTCCATGCCTACTGTGCCAGATACGTCAGAGTGAGCGTGCGCTCAAGCAGGTCAAGATCAATATCGCCGAGTCTCTAGGCGCCCAGGCTCGCGGACACCGCTCGCTGAGCACGGCGCTTCTCGGCGAAGAACATGTGCGAGGTATTCTTTTGATTTCCCACAGCTACGAGTTCGACAGGATCATGAACGCCATCGGGCGCCTGTGCCCGGAGAGGGCGGCGGCGCCGCCAGTGGCCTGGCCGCGCCGCGAGAGGGCGCCGGGCGACAACCGCGAGCGAGGCCGCGGGCAGGGGCCTGGCGGCGGCCCTCGGCGGCAGCAATCACCTGCGCCGCCCGGCCGCCCCGCCCTGCTGGGCAGGCCGTCAGCTCCGCGGCCGCCGCCGCCTCGCCGCGCGGTGAACGCCGCCGAGGCCGCGATCGAGGACAGCTCGGCGAGGAGGCTGCCGAGCACGAGGATGAGGTCGACGGCCAGCTAGATGACGAGAAGCCCACTGCGGAGGAGGCCGCCGACCAGGAACCCGCCGAGTTCGATGAAGTGTACGAGGCTATGACGGCCTTGAACGACGTTCTCAGCATCGCGTCGCAGAAGCTGAAGGGGATCACTCAAGCTAGAGGTTTTTCTCACGTCAAGTGGAAAGGAGGCTCTCGCTCATCCGCGCCTCGCCAGGGCGCCGACCAGATCGAACGGAGAAAGAAGACGGAGGCGTGCCTGGATTGCGGAGAGCTCGGCCACTGGGCCGGGGGCGCCGCCTGCAAGAAGCCAGGCGCCAAGCTCGGACCGAAGCCTTCCAGTTCTCGCGTTGGACCTCCAGCAAAGCATGGAGGGCAGAGAAAACCGTTTCATGCATCCATGGTCTCTTCTTCCTCCGCTTCCGCCCTTGCCAGCTCCGCTCATGTCACTTCGTCCTCTACCATGTGTTCGTGGATGATGTCTCAGTCAGTCTTCAAGGGCCTGGCAGTCGGAGATTCAATCGAGTATATCGACGAGTTTGACGGTGAGAGTTGGATGATTGCCGATACCGCGTGCCAAAGGATGGTCCATGGATCCGCTTGGGGGGGCGCGCCCAGAGGCTCGAAGACAGATCCCTGCCCCTCGTCAAGTGGGCCGTCCATGAGAGTTTCAAGTTCGGTGAGGGCCCCGAGATCCACTCAGTCCCCCGATGGGGTTGCCCGATAGGCATCGCAGGTGTGGCGCTCTGGGCTAGGTCTTCCGAGGTGTCGTCCGCGATCCCCCTGCTGGCCTCCAACGAGTTCATGGTCCTCTTGGGAGCCTCCATCAACATGATCGTGGGGACAATGAGCTTCTTGGGGATCGGGGTTACGACCTCCCGCTTCAGAGGGCCAGGAACGGCCAGCTCATCGTGTGCATCTACGATTTCCCGAGCGAGTTACCTGACTTCTCGGATTGGGACACCTTGGATGAGGACGTCACCCTGCCCCCCGATGCGAGGATCGAATGTGAACACCGTCGAGTGCGACACCTCGAGCGAGACAACTGAGCCAGGGGACCTCGGCGAGCGAGTCTACCAAGATGGACGCGCGACGACGCCAGCGATGCGTGCACTTCGACATTGCCGACGACGGCCTAACCGAGTACGAGGCCCCCGAGGGCGCCGTCGAGATCGATCGATCCGAGGCGACTAGCCAGCCATCTTCGGTCAAGCAGCCCAGTCCCAGCAGCTGCCAGCTTTCCATATCCGAGCCTTTGGCTCCTTCCATATCCAGCCAGTCCGCCCCAGCGGATGCGGCCGCAGATCCGCGAGAGATGGAACCGACTTCTCATGCGCTTGTGGGCGGTCATCTACGCGGCCCTGATCGCAGGTCAGGCCTTCCGAGCTTCGTTGATGACGGGCCCGGGCTTTCGGAACGCGTTCCTGATGGCGCCGCCGCTCCTGGCTGCCTTCGTCAGGGGATGCGCCGAGGGTCTGAAGGCGCACGAAGCCTACCTGGACATGAAGGCGCCCAAGAGACGCGAGCCGTGCGACCACCAGGACTCGACCACGGGGGTCTCGACCATCAAGGAGTACTGTGCGGGTCGCCACGGGTGGTGCGCCAGGTGCCAGCAGACGGCGTGCCAGATGAGGTGGAAGTGGATCGTCACCGACGCCCAGTGGATCGAGCATCCCGACGACCTTTCCAAGTCATCGCGGGCATCCTCCTCGCGGCCGCCGCCGCTGTCACCGGCAGCCATATCAGCGAGGAGCACCGCGTCGCCAGCAGCGCCGAGCGCATCATCTTCGAGACCCTCAGTCCCAGTACAGTCCTTCACGGCGCCCCGCTGCAAGGTGATGCCCAAGCAGGCGCCAGCCAGGCGCCGCCGCCCCAGGGAGACCGACGCCATCATGGAGGAGGACGACTCGGACGGGGAGATATCCAACGAGGGCTTCGAGGAGCTCTGAAGCGTCGCATCGGCGACCTCAACCGCGCCATCTCTGCGCTCGAGGTCGACGCTAAGGATCGGGACGTCGTCGACAGCACCGCCCGACAGGTCAACGCCGAGGCGCCGCGCCACGTGCGCATCCTCGAGGGCTTCGCCGGACGGGGGAACATCGCCATGCGCGCGCACCTCTTCGGCCTTGCCGCTCTGCAGCCCGTCGACCTCATCTACGGCTTCGACCTGGGCGCGGTCGCTGGTCGACGGAGGTGGGACCACGCCATCAAGACGTTCAAGCCGCTGGTGGTTATCATGGGTGCCCTTGTGCGAAGTGGTGCTGGTGCAACTACGCGATCAACTGCCGTGATTTCCCCGACCTCCTCGCTTCCCTCCAAGGCAAGGATCGGCCGCTGCTCAAGCTTGTCGTCTGGACCGCTCTCGAGCAACAGAAGAACGGCAGGTACTTCCTTCTCGAGAACGCCGACCGGAGCCAGGCGTGGGAGCAGCCCGAGCTCGACCCGCTCTGGAAGGACCACCACGCCGTCTGGGGACGAGGCGGCAGCTGCCCCTACAACCTCAGGGCTCTCAACGGCGAGCTGATGCGTAAGACGCGGACGTGGGTAAGCAACCATCCCACATTGCTGGAGTCGGTGACCCGCAGGTGCGATCGCAGCCATCGTCACGCTGAAGTTCAAGGGCGGGACACTTCCCGCTCTCAGGTATTCACCGAGGAGCTCGCAGACAGCATCCTGACCGTCGTGCAGCAGATGGTTGCCGTCCGATCGCCCGCCTCGCTCGCCTGGACATCTAGCTACGACCAGTGCCGATGCGAATGGCATCCTCAGGACAGCACCCCCGCGGACCATCGCGACCAGCTCTACAGCGCCTGGTTCGTCGACGTCGACCGCGACGCCGACGAGTGGCAAGTTGTTCTCACCCAGACGATGCTCATGATGGAGGATCGGGCCCGCGACACCTGGGAGCTGCCGCCGGGCCACGAGATCTACCAGCGCATCCAGGACCTCGTGCCATGGGAGCTCGTTCGAGTGCAAGCTGCCCGGGTACCGAAAGCGCGTAGGCATGCAGTCGACATCGTCTACCGCCATCGCGGCATGGCCGCCATCGCCCGCGCAGGTGACATCATCGTCGAGACTGAAGCGCTGAAGGACGTCCAGTACCCGAAGCTCCGCTTCAGCGAGCCGACCGCCCTCGCCATCTTCTTCTTCGGGAGCGCGCCTGAGTCGGCCAGCGCCGACGGCGAGCTGCCTTCCGAGGAACCGCAGTCAGGGCCTGCTGCTGCCCAAGTTCACCCTGAGAGCGCCGCGGAGCCTCCAGTGGAAGAGCCGGGCGCGCGTCCGCCGGCGCCGCCAGTTCAGGCTGCCGATCCCGACCTCTACTCTATCGCAGGGTGCCGTATCAAGTTCCCTAACCTCAGCGATGACAAGTGCCCCCGCGAGTTCAAGGCGATGGTCGCCCGCCTCCAGTGTCATCATGGACACGCTGGCCGCGAAGATCTCCGACGTTTCTGCGCCTGGCAGGGGGCCACGCCATCAGTCTACTTGGCGATCGACTGCTTGAAGTGCGAGGCCTGCGAGCGGACTCACCCGCCAGCTAGGCTCAAGCCGATCTCCGCGACGATTTGGTACCTGGGTCAGTTCGGCGAACACCTCCAGGCCGACTTCTTTACTATCGTAGACGTCACTAACACGCCGCACCACATGCTCGGTATCATATGCCTCAACACGCACCTCCACCGCGTGAAGCGCGTGGTCGACCGCTTCCCCGAGACAGCTGTGTCCGCCTTCCTGGAGGCATGGGCGTTACCGTTCGGCATGCCGATGGCCATCGCCGTCGACATGGACGGCAGCTTCATGGGCTATTTCACAGGGCGGCTCGAGTCGTACGGGGTCAACGTTTCCTACTGCCCGCCCGACGCACATTGGCAGATCGGGACCGTCGAGAGGCATAACGCGTCATGGAGGTGGATCTGGAATCGGACATGTGACGCATGTGCGGTGAAGACCGCCGAGGAGGTTGACATGGCCACCATTGCCGTCAGCGAGGCCAAGAACAACGCAGTTCGTCGGGCCGGGCGCTCCGCCAACCGGTGCGCCCTGGGAAGGACTCCTCGTATTCCTGGTGAGTTGCTCTCCGACGATCACGGCCTTGCCGCCGCCGCCAACGCCACTAACTCGCAGCGCGTGATGAACAGCGACTTCTACCGCATGGAGGCCAACATCCACACGGCCCATTTTAACTACGAGCAGCGCGTGAGGAAGTCGCTCCTCAGGAAAACCAGTCACTTGCGCTACGACCTTGACAAGCTCGTCGCAGGCCAGCAGGTTGGATGCTGGCGCCGGGGCGCCAAGAAGCGCCCCAGCGGCAAGTCGTCGCGCCCAGGCTTCGTCATTGGCACCTTCCTACAATGGGACAGTGGACAACAAGGACACGGACTCGGCCGCAACGCTTGGGTCAGAGTCGGTCAGACCATCAAGCTCTTCAGCCGCGAACAACTTCGACCAGCCATTGGTTTCGAGCAGTGGGTGCCCGATGCCAAGGGCATCGAGGTTCTTAAGAGCAGCTACGACCTCATGAAGGACGACCTCTGGGAGGGCGAGCGAGATGCCGGGCCCGCGCCCGACGACCTGGCGCAGGAGGCCGACATCTTCGTCGACGACGGCCGTGACCTTCTTCCAGGCCGCGAAGGACTTTTGCTTCCACAGCCTGCCGACGCCGATCTTCCTGGAGCTCAGCCCGTTCCAGTCGAGCCGCCGCCAGCCGCGGCGGCCCCGCCTCAGCCAGAGGCGATTCCGTCCGGGCCGACGCCTGTCGAGACCGAGGTCCCGCGCACGATCCCCATGGACGCGGAGGTTACTCAGGCCGCTGACTCCGTCGCCGCCGAGCCGGACACGATCGAAACCGATCTGGAGGTCAGCCCCCCCAGGTCGCCTCGCAGCCGAGCCGCCGAACACGAAGTCCCTCCAGAGGCCGCCCCTCCGGACGAGAAGAGGCCCCGCGTGTCTACCTTGTGTGCCCAGGCTTGGCTGGCGTCTTTCTGGGCCACCGAGGTCGGGGGCGGGGCTGACGGCTCCGACGAGATACCCGCCGTGTTCGCCAATGTCAGCCGCTGCGCCGACTACGCGGACGAGATCGAGGTCATCTACGAGGTGAACGCCATCGTCGCCGACGACGGGCCCAAACTTCCCCTGGTGCCAGACTCAGGACGACGAGCCTGCCGACCAGAACCAGCCCACCATGACGAGGGCCGAGCGGAAGGCCTGCGACCGCGAGATACCATGGCGCGAGATCATGAATCTGGACGGCTCCACCATCCAGAGCTTCCTGCAAGCCACGCGCAAGGAGTACAGCAACTGGGTCAAGTGGGTGCCGATGGTCGCACTGCCAGACGACGTCGCCAAGGACATGCTCAACTCGCCCGAGATCCGCAAGGGCTGTATCCGGGCGCGATGCTGCTATCGTGACAAGAACTGCGGCCAAGGAGAGCTTGCCGCGAAATGCCGGGGAGTCGCCGTCGGTTGCAGCGACCCGAGGCTCGAGGCGCTCGAGCGGAGGTCTCCCACTACGCAGCGCACCAGCTTCTTCGCAGCATGCCAAATCCTCGCCAGCATGAAGATCTACGACCCAGAGGGCAACTGGACCGCCTGTGTCGGCGACCTCGAGAACAGCTTCTTCCATGGCAGCCGCGAGAGGGGGGGCAAGGTCTACCTCGATCCACCGCGTGACCCTCTGGTCATCGCCACTGGCTCCTGGCCAGATACGTTGTGCGAGGTGGCCGGCAACATCTACGGTTTCGCCGACGCCCCACTGGTGCTGTGTCGTCACATTCGACGCCAGATGTGCGATTTGGGTTTCGTAAGGCATAGCCTGGACGTGATGTGTTTTCTGAAGTTCGATAAGGGGCGTTTATTGGCCATTGTCTCGTGGTGCGTCGACGACATGTTCGCCGTGTACGCCAAGAGCCGTTTCGATTTCTCCCAGCTGGAGAAGGTTTTCGTATTGGGCAAGCTCGTGTATACGCCTGAGGAGCTCGTGTGGTGTGGGCGTGAGATCAACCAGTACCACGACGGCCGAGTCGTCATCACTCAGAAGGAGTACATCAAGGGTTTAGAGGTTCGCCGCATCCCATCCAGCCGCATCCGAGAGGGAGGTTCCCTTACACCTGCAGAACGGACCGAGATGCGGAGCTGTATTGGAAGCGGTCAGTGGTTTTCGGGTATATGCCGTCCGGATGTTTCGTCATACGCATCGTTGCTGCAGAGCGAGGACCCCCAGATTTCCGATCTGAAGGAGATGTACACAACCATAGAGCACCTGAAGAACACGCCAGAGGTTGGGATTACGATGATGCCGTTACAGTTGTTTAACGATTCCGGAGATATCGACGTGATTACGGTTGCGTACGGTGACTCGAGTTGGGCCAACGCGCAGCAGATGAAGAGCCAGACCGGAGCGATGATCGTTTGGGCCAATCGAGATGCACTCTCCGGGTCAGCACCTGCCTCATTGGCCGATTGGAGAAGCGTGAGGACACAACGTCAAGTGAGGTCCACCTTGTCAGCGGAGGATTGTGCCGCTGACGCAGCCGTCGATAGAGGATTTTATGCTTCTGTGTATGTGTCCGAGGTTTTAACAGGCCGTTCATATATAGCCAACCGCATGGCTGACCGCACGCCGCCTAGTGTGCCGCTTTCTGCTATCTCGGATTGTAAGAGTTTGTATGACTGTGTTACTAAAGAGAACCCCAGCTTGGACGAAAAGCGGGCGCTTCTCGATGTTCTTTCTATCCAGACCAGCCTCGGTCTAGGTTCGATGAGGTGGGTCCCAACCTCTAACATGATAGCCGACCCTCTCACGAAAGTATCCGATCAGTTGCGCGACAGTTTAGTTCAGTGGCTCCGCGAGCCCGCCATCGAATTGTTCGGAGCCGTTGCCGCATCAGTATCAGTTTTTGCGTGATTTCTATTTCTGCCGTCAGACGTCTCTCGGAGTTTTCAGCCAACAGAAGAGAGAGACCAGTCTGAAGCAGTAGCTGTTTTAGCATGCCAGCCTTGTCTGCAAACTCCCTTTAGATACCCTTTTAGCCCCGGAGGCCCCGTGTGCGTTTCAGCTTCTATTGTTGCGATTATTGTGAATGATTTGCAGTTTCAGCGTGCATATTTGCCCCTCTCAGGTTTGTGCCGTTGCATGGCCGTTGCGCTGAAAACAGCTTGAGGGGCCCCTCTCGTAGAGCCGCCAGCCGGCGACGACATCATATAGATAACTGAACAGATAAAGATCCACAGGCAAACATATTATACACAGACAGATCAGCGATCTGAGATTGCCCGGCTCGAGGCCCGAATCATTATTCTGCTCCCGCCGGGAGCTACATGAGCAGGACTGAAGGCCGTGGCCACGCTCCGCTTGCGGCAGTGAAAAGAAGTCCGATCACAAGGAGGAGTATATTGCAGAGGGGGAGGCGGAGGAGGAGGAGGAGAAAAATGAGGTGAGGAGGAGAAAAGGAAGAGGCGGAGGATTATGATGATGAGGAGGAGAAGGAAGAGCACGAGGAAGAGGAGAAGGATGAGGGGGAAGGGGAGGAGGAGGTGGAGGAGGAGGTGGTGGAGGAGGAGGAGGACGAGGAGGAACATGAGGAGGATGAGGATGATGATGAGGAGGCGGATGAGGAAGCGGAGGCGGAGGCGCAGGCTGAGGCGGAGGAGGAGGAGGGGGAGGAGGAGGAGGAGGAAGAGGAGGAGGAACAGGAGGAGGAGGAAATACTCATAGTATTATTATTAGTATTAGTAATAATACGACTAGCAATGATTCTACGAATACTGGTGATACTATTAATAATAGTAGTACGAAAAATACTAACATGACGAATACACATTTTACCCAGAAGAGAAACCATACGAACATGAATACTACCAATGATAACTATGATGCGAATGATAATAATATTAATAATACTACCAAGAAGAATAATGATACTACGAACGCGAATGGGACGACTATTAAGAATACGAAGAACACTAACAGCACTTCTACTAATACTACTGATAATGATCATAACGCTAACTGTAATAATAAAGTGCTACTGACAATCATAATACTACTAGTAATATAAATCTTACTGCTATCACGATAGCTAATTCTAGCACGAATGCTACCATTTCGATAATAATATGATTTTGACACTGATACATTTAAACATACAACATACGCTAGTACCGAGAAACAGAATAGGAGGAGGAGGCGGAGGGGGAGGAGGAGGAGGAAGAGGACGAACATGAAAAGGAGGAGGATGAGGAACAGGCGGCGGAGGAGGAGGAGGCGGAACATGATGATGATGAGGAGGGAATACGGAAGAAAAGGGGAGGGCGGAGGAGGGGGAGGAGGGCGGAGGAGGAGGAGGATGCGGAGGAGGAGGAGGAAAAGGAGGAGGAGGAGGAGGAGGAGGAAGATAAGGAGGAGGAGGAGGAGGGAGGGAGGAGGGAAAGGAGGAGGATGATGAGGAGGCGGAGGAGGAGGAGGAGGAGGAGGAGGAGGAAGAGGAAGGAGGAGGAGGAGGAGGAGGAGGAGGAGGAGGAGGAGGAGGAGTAGGAGAAGGAGGAGGAGGAGGAGGAGGAGGAGGAGGAGGAGGAGGAGGAGGAGGAGGAAGAGGAGGAGGAGGAGGAGGCGGAGGAGGAGGAGGAGGAGGAGGAAGAGGAGGAGGAGGAGGAGGAGGAGGAGGAGGAGGAGGAAGGAGAGGAGGAGGATGAGGAGGAGGGCAGGAGGAAAAGGATGAGGAGGAGGAGGAAGAGGAGGAAGGAGGAGGAGGAGGAGGGAGGAGGAGGAGGAGGAGGAGGAGGGGAGGAGGAGGAGGAGGAGGAGGAGTGAAGAGGAGGAGGAGGACGAGGAGGACGATGAGGAGGAGGAGGAGGAGGAGGAGGAGGAGGAGGAGGAGGAGGAGGAGGAGGAGGAGGAGGAGGAGGAGAAGGTGGAGGAGGAAGAGGAGTTGGAGGAGGAGGAACAGGGGGGAGGGTAAGAGGAAGGAGACAGGAGAGGAGGACGGAGGAGGGAGGAGGAGGAGGAGGAGGAGGAGGAGGAGGAGGAGGAGGATGAGGAGGAGGAGGAGGAGGGAGGGGGGAGGAGGGAGGAGGGTGGAGGGAAGAGGGAGGAGGGAGGAGGGAGGAGGAAGGGGGGACGGAGCAGGGAGCAGGGAGGAGGTTGGAGGTTGAAGGAAAAGGAAGGAGGAGGATTAGGAGGAGGAGTTGGAGGCGAAGGAGGCGTAGGAGGCGGAAGAGGAGGAGGAGGAAGAGGAGCAGGAGGAGGAGGAGGAGGAGGAGGAGGAGGAGGAGGAGGAGGAGGATGATGATGATGATGATGATGATGGTGATGATGAGGAGGGGGACCAGTGGAAACCCAAGAGTCACCAACGATGTTTTACTGAACCCCCCTCCAAGCCTACTCTGCATAGGCCCCTACAACGGTTCATTGCCATTGAGGGAGCTGCCTCGTTGGAAGACAACAGTTTGAATATCCGTAAGGGCTTCGCCCCCTGCCGCCGGCCCCCTCTCTCGGAGAATGGGCCATGGAAGAGCTAAGTCATGAGGCCTTGGCGCTGTCGTGAAGCAGTATCGAAACTTCATGCGAAGCCGATTCGCAATCAGCAAAACCAACTGATCACAAGAGGGGTTACCACACCTGGCGATTGGTAAGACGTGTATGGTTTACGGGCTTGGTTACCACACCTTGCGATTAAAGGGCCGAGGGAGTTCTCGCAGTTTGGGTTACCACGCCTTGCGATGGATGTGCGTGAAGGGTGGCACCGAATTTCAGAAATGTGGCAAATCCCCTGTGTTTTTGGACCCTGACCCCGCGGATCTGCGTGAGGGGTGGCACCGAATTTCAGAAATGTGGCAAATCCCCTGTGTTTTTGGACCCTGACCCCGCGGATCTGCGTGAGGGGTGGCACCGAATTTCAGAAATGTGGCAAATCCCCTGTGTTTTTGGACCCTGACCCCGCGGATCTGCGTGAGGGGTGGCACCGAATTTCAGAAATGTGGCAAATCCCTTGTGTTTTTGGACCCTGACCCCGCGGATCTGCGTGAGGGGTGGCACCGAATTTCAGAAATGTGGCAAATCCCCTGTGTTTTTGGACCCTGACCCCGCGGATCTGCGTGAGGGGTGGCACCGAATTTCAGAAATGTGGCAAATCCCATGTGTTTTTGGACCCTGACCCCGCGGATCTGCGTGAGGGGTGGCACCGAATTTCAGAAATGTGGCAAATCCCATGTGTTTTTGGACCCTGACCCCGCGGATCTGCGTGAGGGGTGTCGATTTCGAGCCCCCCCAGCAATTCAGACAACGCGCCCAGGAGGTGCTAACTATTTGGTTTGGGCCTCCTCCCCCTCGCGCGGTCAATCAACTAGTTACAGTAACCAGCAAGAAGCAGAATTGTAACACTGGAAACTACAAGCTACAACTGACACAGGAAACTGCGAATCCCGCGCCTACAGCCTGGTGGCCCCACAAGGGGGCCGGCGGATTCTGAAGCGTGCCAAAACATTGTTCTCCGGAATTCAACGCCACGTATCAACCTGACTGCTGCGTCTTGACGTTCCAGAATCGTGCCAGAACGCCACTTTTGGGACTTGAACACAGCAGATCAACATAACTGTTGCGCCCGCATCATCCGGAATCCTTGCAACACACCAATTCTGGTACGTTGATCATGGGAATCTATGAATCTCTGGCAACTGTTACTAACTAATGTGCGCGGCGCTCAGGCGAGAGCCACATTTTGAAAAGGAACCGCCGTCAACCCGTGAAGCTCTTGCACATTTTTAAAACGAATGTGCGCGGCGCTAAGGCGAGAGTCACATTTTAAAAACAACCCGCCCTCAATCCGTGAAACTTCTGTAAGTTTTTAAAACGGATGTGCGTGGCGCTAAGGTGAGAACCACATTTTGAAAACGACCCGTCCTCAATCCGTGCGTGACACTTTTGTAAGTTCTGAAAACGAATGTGCGCGGAGCTAAGGCGAGAGCCACTTTTTGAAAACGACCCGGCCACCATCTGTGAAACTGATGTCGCTTTTTAAGTTTCTGATTTGTAAGTGGTGAGGACGTCTCAGGCGAAACGCCCGGCCCGCCCTAAAAACTGGCCTCGGGGTGCGACATGGAGGAGTTATCTATAAGGGGAAGGAATGTAGGAGGAGGAGGAGGAGGAGGAGGAGGAGGAGGAGGAGGAGGAGGAGGAGGAGGAGGAGGAGGAGGAGGAGGAGGAGGAGGAGGAGGGCCAGGTGCCGGAGCAGGCCATGCAGGCCATCCTCGCCGGGCGGCTGCTGCCGCTGCTGAAGCCCGGAGGCGGCGTGCGGCCGCTGGCTTGCGGTGAGACGCTGCGCCGGATGGCGGCCAAGGCGGCCGCGGCGGCGCACAAGGGAGCCATCGCTGCAGCGGTGGGTCGCTGCCAGTTTGGCGTGG